CCAGGTCTTTCTGTGCTTGCTTTGTGTGTGTGCATGTATGCATGCACATGTGTGTATGAAGTTTGCTTCTAAAAGTGAGAGGATAGTAGATACACTTTTCAAGAACTGTTGGTGAGTGTGGAGAACCTGTTTTTCTCACTTTCAAATAGATGGAAGAAATCTCATGGGGTCTTAAATTCCTCATCAAAGTTTCTTGCCAGGTCAAGCCTTCCTGCACTGACACAAAGGAGGAATTCAGCCAGTATCTTTCTGTCGCTTATCTATGGCCCTCCTTCATAGCTCATGGCAAGGAACTATGGCAGTGGAAGTCCACTATCTGGAAGCTCAATGATGGTTATTTATGTACTATGTATTATGACTGCTGCCCAGAATGAGGAAATAATTCAATCTTTAAAATGAATTATTCTCACAACATATTATGTTTTGCAGTATATGAAACAGGGTGAGTGATTGACTGATTGATTACTTAATTCCCTGTAACAGCCATGGTGTAATTCAATCAATGGTTTTCCGATGGAAACAAAATTGGTGTTTCAATGTTACTCTGTTACTTTTTGGTAAGCTCAGCAGAAAAACAGAAGTTGCGCAAGATACAAAAAATCAGGTTGGAAACAACTTTTTAAAATAACCATCAAAAGAAGGTGGTTTGTTCTGGCTTTGGAAGATCGGAACGGAGGGAGGCAAATATGTGCCTGCACCCCCTCTCTTGAGAAAGAAGAAAACATGGAGGGAGCCAGGTCAGTTGAGGATGGGGAAAGCTTTGAAAAGGGGCAAATTTGTTTTGGAGTTGGGGAGTTGAGGGAGATAAAAGGCAGCAAAAGTGGAAACGCAAGCAAGAAATAGAAATGTAACTGTAGCGAAGTTCTGCAGGTTTAAAGCAGAGAGCATGTGTCATCACAGGCTTTGCTGCAGCCCCATAGGGAATGTCTGTGTCATTCATCTAACACACAAACACACACACACACACACACACACCAGGCCTGAGAATACTGCTGCAAAGCTAGGCATCACCTTTGGGCTAGCTCTGTTTTAAGATTTATTTATTTATTTATTTATTTATTTATTTATTTATTTATTTATTTAGTGCTTGCTTGCTTGTTTGCTTACTTGCATGTGCTTGTTTCGGGGATTTTAAAGAGGCCCACTTGAACATTACGAAGTGCACAAGATTTTAAAAATAACCAAACAGCATTGCTTATGTTCACATGCATAATTTATATGAACTGATCCCCACTCTAACATTCTTCCTTCACTTGTTAAAAAAAATGTGGGACACCTCCTAAGTGAATATGACTTTACCAAAGTTATAAACATCTTGCTTTTCCTTATGTTGGGGGAAAAAAATCCATAATGCAGTTCTACAACCAGGTGTCATCTGAACAAGAGTCCGTCCACACAAGCAGGGCAGTCTCTCTTTCTTTTGGAGAAATATCCTTTATTCAGGTAAGACGGAACAATACATTTCTTGAGACCAATTGCAATGAATGAATAGGGGAACAGTGCAAATGAAATGTTTTGCTTATACTAGGTCTTATAGTTAGTTATGTGCCAGCAAGTCAGAACTGACTTTTAGCAACCCTAATAGGGCTTTCAAGGTAAGTGGGATATTTAAGAAGTAATTTTGCCACTTCTGCTTCCCCAGCGAGTTTCCATGGCCTCTGCTTTGAAGACATGATGCACCATGTGTTGAACCAGAGGTCTGCAGATTTATGCTTCTGGACTATAGGTCCCAGAATTCCCCAGACAATTCTGGGAAGTTCAAAAATACAGATCTGCACAATTCTGTGTTGAGTCATGACTAGAGAGTCCTTGATTCTGACCTTTTGATATCTTTATGAAGCAGGAACGTCATCAAAGTGAATAAATACTAAATCTGAAGAACTCTGTGTATTAATAAATAACCTTTTCAAAATTGCAAAAGATGCATTCTTTGCTCTGAGATAGGTATATATTGCAGTAAGCCCCACTGTACGAAAAGCATTCTCTTTTGTGCAAAAGTGAAGGGAGAATGCACCTTTTAAGTCAGCATAGCTGATACCTGCATTTTAACAACGACATTAAAAGTGTTTAACATTTCACCTGATAACGAGTGGCTTTTTGCTAAATCAAAATATTTCAGTACTCTCACCAATTAACTGGGTAGTGTCTGTAGCCCTATTGTAACACACAATAGCAAACTGCAGAGCTAGTGATAAAAGTTGCATTACTTTCCACATTTTTCACTTGGGAAATACCATTGAATTAATGTGTACCTGACGCTTTAGAAATTCCTCAACAAAGGAAAGAGGTTGAAATGGTGAATTATCTATCCTTTCCAAAGCCATGCAAGAGTGGTGGGTGTTTTCTGTGCCACTTGGCCCTGCACATCCTTCTTTCCCCCTCTGCCCCCCTCACACACACCACCACTCCCGAAACCAATGAGGAGAATGGATGACAAGGGCTCTCTATCTGATGCAGCTGGATAGCTTGATGGTGAGAAGGAGGAGCAAAGAGGCTTTGGATCTAATGGTTTTCTTAAAGAAATCCCTTCTGTGTCCCAAGAATGCCACTGGCAACCATTCTATATAACCGGAGCTGATAGCACAGTCATAACTGGGCCCCTCTTGGGTGAACGTGTCCCTTGAACAGCTTCTCTCCATTACGTCTGGGCTGCCAATGGAAATTCTCATACCTCTAGTTCATTCTCCAAGACTGCCGTTTCCATCTTGGGACTTTGGTCTAGCTTCACATCTTGTGACAACATCTCACCAATATTGCTTTTTTTTATCTCTGCTGTTCCCTCCCCTACCCTCCCAGGTTTTGCCCTTCCTAGCCTGGTGAGGAGTCCCTGGAGGATTTACAGGTTTGCCTTAGCCAGCCATGATGGTTCATATTTCCATCATTTATTTTATTTTATTTATTTATTTATTTGATTTATATCCCACCCATCTGGTAGGTCAGTACCACTCATAACATACAGCGAGGGGTTCAGCTTCCCTGCTTTCAAGAAACTTTAACTGCATAGTTTGGAGAAGGAGTGGCGGCCCTGTACCCCCTGTGCGTACATCTCTTTGGGCAGCCATGTTCTACTTGCATCTACTATATACCATCTGCAAAAGATCCCAAATAATGGGGAAGGACATCAGGCCACCACACTGGCTCCTCCAAACCAATCACAAATAGGCTTAGCGGACCCACAGCTAATATTATTTCAATTGTCTTCAACTCTAATAAAATTTATTTACCTATCTTTTAATAATATCACTGTGTTATACAGCCTAATTGAACATACAGCGAGGGGTTCAGCTTCCCTGCTTTCAAGAAACTTTAACTGCATAGTTTGGAGAAGGAGTGGCGGCCCTGTACCCCCTGTGCGTACATCTCTTTGGGCAGCCATGTTCTACTTGCATCTACTATATACCATCTGCAAAAGATCCCAAATAATGGGGAAGGACATCAGGCCACCACACTGGCTCCTCCAAACCAATCACAAATGAGGGGTTCAGCTTCCCTGCTTTCAAGAAACTTTAACTGCATAGTTTGGAGAAGGAGTGGCGGCCCTGTACCCCCTGTGCGTACATCTCTTTGGGCAGCCATGTTCTACTTGCATCTACTATATACCATCTGCAAAAGATCCCAAATAATGGGGAAGGACATCAGGCCACCACACTGGCTCCTCCAAACCAATCACAAATAGGCTTAGAAATTATTGGTCACTCCTGCAAATCATTTCACCATTGAAGATGTCCTTGTCTTCAACTCTAATAACACTTATTTACTTATCTTTTAACAATATCACTGTGTTATACAGCCTAATTTCCCAGTAGACAGAAATACTATTCGTGATAAAAAGATTTACTAATGATGTGATCATGTAAATACTGCAATGTGGATACATAAATTCCAAGATCATGTAAATACTGCAATGTGGATACATTAAAATAAATTCCAGCTCCACCAGGCACCTCACATTCCATTGACTTCAGTGAAATTTCCTTCCAAATGATCTGAAATGTTAGACACCTTATCTATTAGAGCTGCAGAGGCTTCAGGGCACAACGGTGCTAGGATGTCTTGATTTCATCACATTTCTCTAAATCCTACCTGCCTCTTTGTTCCATCCTTGTGAGGAACAAATCTGGTTGTGAGGCTTTGTTTCTGATTCCCCAACAGAAATCTCTGCATGTTTTGCAGTTTTCCTAATGTACTGTTACGTCTTCTCAAGCTGCATCCAACTTATAAAGACCTTAATAGTGTTATCAAAGTACTTGAGATATTTTAGGAGTAGTTTCAGTAGCACTATCCCCAGTGAGTTTCTATGGCCCAGCAAGGAATTGAACCCCCTGAGTCTCAGTGCACCAATCTATCCCCTGTACATGTCTAACATATGCACATTTTAATACATTATCCCCATTGACTCAAGTATGTTTATGCTCAGTTCTCCAAGATACACATTTGTTTGTAGCTTCTTCCCAAAGATGGAAAATTAAAAAAATACATGGGCACTTTCCTCAACAATCCTGCACATCCCTAATTCAATAATTCTTTAAAATGCAGTTCATGCAGATGTATGTTCCACAGCAACTTCTGCATCTATAGAAGCGTTATGCACACAGCACTGACATGGAAGCGTTACTGATATCATAGCTAGTTTTGGACAAATGTGTTCCTTCACACACATACGCAATCCGATCAGCAACAAACACGTTGAAAAGGTCTGTTAACTTTCTTATACACAGACGTATGATTTAAGTCATAAAATACAAAATGCATCTTTGGAGATTTCTCCACAACTTTACTTCTTTACCAGGAGAAGCTTTGCCTACCAATTGCTACCTGTCAGTGCTGCTTTCCAAGGATTGGGGCCCTGGCAGAAAAGATGGCCACTGTATCCGGGTGCCTTTTTAGTTGCCTGAATACTGGCATACTTCTGTATACATTCTCTTCCACCTGAGATCAATAAGTTCACCCTACGAATAAGGTCAAACCACTATATATACATGCCCAGATGATTCCCTTACCAGTGAGATTCTTCAGTCCAAGCCTTCTAAGTCCATAGCTACCATCCTTTTTGTAGTTAAGGAAGATAGCCAATGCACAACGGTCCTCATACAGTTTTGTTCCACGAATGATCCGTAGATTCTCCAGCGGGAGATAGGCAAATTGATTCAGAGCTACCAAGACATAGCCAGTGACCTCTCGGATAGACTGCAAGAGACAAAAGCACAAAGTATTTGCTTATTAAAACTGTTCTGTCCAGCTTTTCAATGTAAAATCTGGAAGATATCTCACAAGGCATTCTAAATTAATTAATGTATTGATATATCACCCACAGGACACAGGTTCTGCACCATGATGACACTACAGAGAAGGGTCTGCCCTATGCTATCACACACCATATGTGAAGATGGTGGTGTGTCAAAGCAGAGCCTCAAAAGACAGGTAGGTCTATGTACTGGAGAAGAACCTTGTGTTTCCTGCATAGGAGTTGATCTCCAAATGACTATGAAACACAGATGTTACACACATCAGCCACAGAGCAAACACCCTTGGGTGATCCATCCAGGAACCAAGGTGCAAGCAAATCTGGATAAGTTATATTTCACCTTCTGCATCCAAAATGCTCAGGCCATCAATTGTAGCCTTTAAGATACAATCCTGAAGACACTTCCTAGATGAAATGTAAGTTTCATTAGACATAGTGGAACTTACCGTACTTCTTAGTAAATTTGCACAGAATTTGTTCTACAAAACCTTGATACAGTACATATGAATACATTGGTTAAAATCTCAGATTTCTTTGTTACACTCTGGGTTTGTCTTACAAAAAATATGTCCAGTATAATACCAAGACTATAATTATGCAATATACAATGCAGCTAGCCTTGACATACTGACATACTGTAAGTACATTTGGTAATCCCAGCCATGAGAGTGCTATCATGCCAGCTGATGATTGTTTAATCAACACTTATGTCATTTTGTTGATTCAATGGTCTACTTTATTTGGGACTAACATTCAGATTCACACCAATGTCATTTTGGGGATGTTGTTTCTCTGTTTGGTCAGCTACAGGTATCTGGTTTTGTGATCAACTGAAGCCAATTAGGACCAGAACAATGGCTATGGAAGCTGAGGAATTCTGGAAGCTGTTGTGAAAAAAAGGAAATTATCCAAGCTCTGATTAGGATAGCACATAGGTAATGTATCCTGATGCCATGTAATGTTAGATATTATTATATCCCATTCATTGGCCCCACTTCCTGTAGCACAAGTACTGTCATGTGATCAGGATATGCCACATCACTCTTCATCTCTACAGATGTTTACAGATAGGTCTACATGTTCCACTTTTATCCACAAAACAGTTTTATAATACCTTATACAGTTATCAAAATACTTTAACAACACTGCAAGATTCACTGCAATAAAGTAGTACTACAATAGAAAACAAGTCCATAAACAGGACTTCCCAAGTAAAAAAAGGTTGGGGGGGGAAAGGAATAATTTTACAGCCCTATTGTTAAAATGAATAGATGGAATGTAAGTGTCAATTGGGTAGCTCCCCTCTGAATCAGTGGAATTTATAAAGGAAATGATTTATCAACTCTCCACTGATTCAGTTGGCCTAATCTAATTGGAATTTACTGTGCTAAGCATCAAGATCTCATCCACAATTGCAAAATGAGATGTTTTTACTACAGTTCCCAGAAGGCCTCAGCCAATGCTTTTGAGAGGTATAGTCCAAAAACCTGTATTTTCCCAAGCTTTGTTTTGACTACAATAGGACCTTTACATGCTCTGTTGCAAGACTTTCCATGTATCCAGGCAGGGGAGCAAAAACGTCTGATACCTCTTCCCTGTTTGATTTACCACCTCCATTTGGGGTGGGGAGCAGGAGGAAAAATGAAGTGTGGCCTTTCTTCCCTCCCACCTTTCCTACCAAAGAAAGGGCACACCTGCTTGCTTCTCCTCCACCTCATGTTCCCAGGACAAGTGAATAAGCTGAATTTAAAAAGCATGGTGCTTATATACCACTCCACTATTTTATACCTCTTCCCTGTTTGATTTACCACCTCCATTTGGGGTGGGGAGCAGGAGGAAAAATGAAGTGTGGCCTTTCTTCCCTCCCACCTTTCCTACCAAAGAAAGGGCACACCTGCTTGCTTCTCCTCCACCTCATGTTCCCAGGACAAGTGAATAAGCTGAATTTAAAAAGCATGCTGCTTATATACCACTCCACTATTTGGACAGTTTATAATTTTTATTATGCAGGCTACATATTGCCCCTCACCCCATAAAGCTGGGTACTCAATTTACCAACCTTAGAAGGATGGAAGTCTGAGTGAGTCTCAATCTGGTTACCTGGGATTAAACCCAGGTCTTGGCTGCAGTAAAAGGGACGTGGTGGCGCTGTGGGCTAAACCGCAGAAGCCTGTGCTGCAGGGTCAGAAGACCAGCAGTTGTAAGTTCGAATCCACGCGACGGAATGAGCACCCGTCGCCTGTCCCAGCTCCCGCCAACCTAGCGGTTCGAAAGCATGCAAATGCGAGTAGATCAATAGGGGCCACCTCGGTGGGAAGGTAAACAGCGTTCTGTGTATAAAGCACACTGGCCATGTGACCACGGAAAGATTGTCTTCGGACAAACGCTGGCTCTATGGCTTGAAGAGCGGGATGAGCGCCGCCCCCTAGAGTCAGACACGACTGGACAAAAATTGTCAAGGGGAACCTTTACCTTTACCTTTACCTTGGCTGCAGTACTGCAGTTCAACCACTGTGCCATGAGGCTCTTGAATGACTCTATATGAATTTAAGAGTCTGTGAACTGTGAACCATCCTAGTTTCAAAAGACATAATTAAAACAAAAGGTTCATGGCTGATAACATGTACTCTTTTACGATTAAGCACCATTGATTCACACTACTGAATAAATATACCACAGGAAGGATGCTCTTCTGAACCTTTGAGCTGCAGAAGCCATTGGAAGCAGCTCCTGCTCCTCCTGTCAGAATAAGCAATGGCTTGTATTTGAATGAGTCCACATGAGAGAGATGCTGAACCATCTGTTAGCTCAGTTGATTCCAGTGTTTCTCCTCTAGCCAAACAAACAAACAAACAAAAAAACTCTATCTAGATCAGACTGAGAAAGTGAGAAAAGACAGAGATTTGCACTGGGAGAGAAAGAGAAGCTACAAATGGACAGATCTTTACATTGGAGAATACCGGCTTAGCTTCCTTTCATATTTGCAAGAATAATAAACTGATCCTTCCACTTGTGATAGATGCAGTTCAGTGATTATTTTGAAAGAAAGGGGGTGGGGAGGATCACCTCATCTTTTCTTTGAAGCCACTCATCAGATCTAGCAGTTGGTTTGCCAGATCTTCAAAGAGGAACCCCTGACTGAATACCAAAAGCAAGTAGGAGGAAAACTCCATAGGCATCCTTGATACCCAGATGGCAGGCAGTTTCACACAAGAAGCTAACCTTATTAATAGGGTCACAAAACTCCCAGCCCACGAGGAGGTTTTCCATTAGCCCACACCTATAAGCAGCAGCACCATTAATTTGCAGCACAACTACAGCCTGGCCGGGGGGGGGGAATACTGTACAGCAATAAATTTCCATAAGAATTATAATGTAGCATTGTGCAAATGCTCAAAAACTAGAACAGTTCAGATGCAACACTAAGTCACAGAATGTTTCAGTCATGGATAGCTGAACAAAGTACCATATTTTTCCGTGTATAAGATGCCCCCATATATAAGCCACCCCAAGTTTTCTAACCCAAAATTAAGAAATCTAAGTGGGGCTTACCAAGTGGGGCTTACTAAGTGGGGCTTACTAAGTGGGGCTTACCAAGAGGGAAAGGGCTCAAAACACTACAGGATTGTTTTGACCTGCGGGGCTTAGCAAAAGGAAGGGGAAAGGGATCAAAGCAATCCCGTGACCATGATCATTTTGATCCCTTTCCCCCTAATACAGCCACGGGATTGCTTTGATCCTTTCCCTCCTCTTTTTGCTAAGTCCCATGGGACTTAGTAAGCAGAGGGAAAAGCAGGGATCAAAGCCATCCTACAGCACTTTGATCCCTGCTTTCCCCTCCACTTGTTTTTGTTCTCTCCTCAGCTTACTTCCATGTATAAGATGACCCTCAATTTTTAATCTAAAGATTTTAGACAAAAGTATAGTCTTATACACGGAAAAATACGGTAGTTCATTTTGTTAACATTGATTTGTTGTCTTGCTACTTTATCTGTGAACACCCAGCTGTCCTCTTACCACCCTTTGTGGCTTCAAACGTCTGCCTAAGTATTATTCCAACATCAGTTTGTTTAACATCAGCCAGTAGAAGCAAGAAAGTGGAGAACATGAACATTGTCTTCTTCAAAGATCTTAACACTGCTCTTGGCAGTGAGGAGGCTTCTACAACTGTCTCCCCTTCAGAGTTTCTGCAGATTGCAGACAAGAAGAATTTTGTAATTTTGGGGGCATGTGCCTGTCTGCTTGATCCATGACCCACTACTGCTTCAGAGGTACTTCTTATACAAAATGGTTGGCTTCTTTGTTGATCCTTTCCCTGCCCCTTCCAAAGAAACACGCTTAACACTAGAAATCATCTATCCAGACACACACCAGATGTTTTGATACTGGGTGCTACTTCATGCTGTGTGAAGAATTTTTAAACCTTGAAAAATTCCATTCAAACCCACTTGTGTTCCCCCCCCCTTTCAACTGGATTTTTAATTGAACCTTCACAGAAAAAAACCCTGTAAGTGTTAAAATAATTTATTCAAAAGACTAGAATGGTTCCAGTAATCCTTGGAAGGTGGATTTACTCAGGTTCATAGATCCTAAGCTAGTATTGCCCTTGGTCATTTTTAAAGAGGTAAAGTTATCCCTTTTGAGAACGTAGAGGCTTCTTTCTCCCTCAAAAGGCCTGTTTCTCACATGTGCACATGCACACTAACTTTAATATCTTGCTCTGAAAGGTCAAGGAAAAATAATTTAACTATGGCTACAACACATATAAGGTGACCCGTGACCTCTCCAGAAAACACTTTGCGACCCCCTTGGGGCTCACAGGGTGGGAAAGTCTGAGATATATGGATCACCTCTCCAAATACATGAGAAAGAAAAGAAACATGGACATCAAAGTAAGTCAGGAGAGCAAAGGTAAAATAGTTATCACATACTGAATGAAGTT